GTGACAGGTGGTGGGTATATCCAGAATATATATATATATATATATATATATATATATATATATATATATATACATATACATATATATATATATATATATACATATTCATACACACACACACACACACATATATATATATATATATATATATATATATATATATATATATATATATATATATGTATGTATGTATGTATGTATGTATATCGTACATTTTAAGCAGCTAATGAATCTTAATTCGACGTTATTTCTTATAACTATAAGCGTTATATGCTGTGGGTACACTTGTTTGCATAGACTTCTTTCCTTCTAAGCACTGAAATCAATGTCTACCGGCATAGTGATCGAAAGTCTTACTAAAGGAAATTTGTCCTCGACAGAAATTTTAAACTTGTGTACTCTTCTAAATCTAGGAAACCACTTCCAGGCCAAGCGTGTTTTATCATTAACCTTGTCATCACAGCCAACGGAGGCTCAGTTAGCTAATATAAGAGATGCGCTACGTTCGTGAGGCCATATCGAATTAATGTTTTTGTTAACTCTGAAAACGAATATGTTGTTCTATAAGATCTTTAATCTCTAGCTGAATAGACATAATTGTTCGCTTTGCAATACACGCGTATCCACTGGGTATAGCGCTTATTATAATAAGATATAACGTAATATTTGAAATACATTAATTGTATCAGAAATACTTTGCTTAAGTTTTGAGTAGGAAAATTATGTTGGAAGATAATGACTTTGAAACGTTTCAGTGAGATACGACCATGACTTAAATGGGGTAATTAAGCCATGCTTTGCTGTGTAGACTTTCCATAGTATGATAGTAAGGCAGGCTTGGTCTGTAAGGGGTTTCTCGGATTGAAAAGTAAATACTGGTTAAATACTCCTCGGGACGCACAATTTCTTTAGTAAGATTTTCGATCTTTAGGCTGGTAGACATTAATTAATTTAATTGTTTACGAAACAAGAATGCCTACTCAAACAAGTGTATACATAGAATATAACATTTGCAGATATAATATATGTACATATATATGTATGTATACGTACAATGAATTAATGTAGTTATTTTATTACTTCAGATGGCATTTTTAGCAGATACATACATATATACATATATATATATATATATATATATATATATATATATATATATATATATATATATATATATATATATATGTGTGTGTGTGTGTGTGTGTAAAAAATGAATGTATTTATTTTCATTACTTCAAATGGTATTCTTAGTAGATACTTATATTTGAAACTGACGCACATTTTTCTTTTTCTTTTTTAAACAAATGTATTACGTCTCTCGAATGCGCAGGCCGATAGATATAATGCATACAGTGTAAAATAAAAATATAAACCAAGAGTCTATTTCAAATAAGTGTATCCACTTTTTCTACTGTTTGAAGTAATATATATATATATATATATATATATATATATATATATATATATATATATATATATATATATATATATATATATATATATATATATATATAGACACATGTTTGTTTAGATGAAGATATGTGCTCATAGATACATCAGAATGCTTGAGTCTATATATATATATATATATATATATATATATATAGAGAGAGAGAGAGAGAGAGAGAGGGAGAGAGATATTTATTTGTTTTAAAAGGAATGTGAGTGTCTATGCATATTTTTACAAATTTCTTGTATATTTTTACACATTTAAGGAAATTTTGCATATAAATATATGTATATATATATATATATATATATATATATATATATATATATATATATATATATATATATATATCATCAGAGATAGATAGTGGTACCAGGAGTTTTATATTGGGATAGAATAGACAAATACATCTTAACAGATCAAGAGGTACATATAAAACACGTGATTTATATCATTCGTTATGTAAATATTCACGCAGGCCCTGTAGACAGGGCACTGCACACGTTTTCACCTCGGACATATCAAGCAGCACTCAAAATATATGGTTTTTGAGGAGAATATTACACAATTAAAACCCTCCTGCATTGTATAATACTGATATATATATATATATATATATATATATATATATATATATATATATATATATATATATAATTATAAAAGTTTCATCAAAGACACTGCAAATAAGCTTTATATTTAATTTTTCTTGTGTTCGTATTAGTGTTTTCTTTTTAGGACACAATGTCTGTAAAAATTCTCCACAAGTTCTGCATATACGACCGTTTTGGGGTATTCTTTTAGCTTTGATCAAAGATGATTTTTATTTTTAACTGAATCTATGTATTTTTTATGTATGTATCTAGTGTTATAGGAATATATATATATGGTATTTATCAATTCACCCACAGGAATTGAATGTGGCACAAGGCCTTTTTAATGTGGGTATGTCTGAGCCCGTAGGCCCAGCCAAAAATAAAACCCATCTAAACCCGTCCAAGCTTCGGCGGAGCTTCGTCCGGGTTCCCCTCTGCAAGCAGAGAGTTCGACAGACACCCGACCCGGCAGCTCACAAAGCGCAGATACTACACTTTGATCCTAGCCACCGGGCCGAGCGGGTAGGAATATATATATATATATATATATATATATATATATGCACGCACACACACAGAGACACACACACACATTCGAATTAATTCAGTAAACAGCAATATTATAAAGTGTTCAAAACACGTGTGAAAAAATAAAATAATAGTAAAAATAACATGTAGAGCTTTTAACTTTCAAAATCAGTAGGTCAGTTGAATCCTCTCCCTTGGTTTTATGTTACGGTATCCTAAGGAGATTTTTTTATCAAATGACCACCTAACGTTTTTTTTTTTTGTCTTTGTTTTTTTTTTAAAGGCAAGACCTTATAACAATCGCAACAATATTTGCATCCTCGGCCAACAGCAAAAAATAACGATTATGACATTTCCAGATCAAAAGAACCTTCAAAAATGGTTATCCGAAGTCTTGAATCCTTGATTACATATCAGAAAATATTTCTTAAGTGGATATGAAGCTGGATAAAAAAAAAGTATATTAACCCGCACCCCCCGAGCAATACATTTACAATACACTTGCGCTTCTTTACGTCCTCCTCCACCCTTTCTATTACACCCAACGTCGTGTGTTTATTTATTTTTGAAAATAATAATGTAGCTTTCTTTAGTTTAAATTTTAAAAAATGCGTTAGGTGGTCCTTTGATAACAATTGCCTGAAGGTACTGTAAGGTTGAAACCAAGATAGCGGATTCAACTGACCTCCTGATTTTATATATATATATATATATATATATATATATATATATATATATATATATATATATATAATTACAGTAATTCATCGAGCCTAGAAGAATCCTCGACAAAATGCGGAAAGCTCTAGGTGGACGTGTCGTCCTATTATCAGACTTTATTATTCAGTTCGCATACACAACCGTAATTCGAACCCGCACCGTTTCGATATAACGCAAGCGTCATACCAACTGTAGCAACGGGCCTCGGTGACGAAGAAGAAACTGAAAAAAAAAAACTCGATAAAGCGCCGCTACTCACAAATTCCCTGGTGATACTCATCCAAGTATTCATAACCCAACGGGTTGTGTCACAAGAGCCACAACTTTCCTTTTCCCCGAACCGTCTCATTGCAGAGCATTAGCTGGGTCAAGCAAGGGTATACAAATAATAGAAACGAGGCCCGTTGGTATGACGCTTGTGTTGTATCAAATCTCGGTACTGGATGCGCACTGCTGATGCGTCCCAGAATAAGACGAAACGGCCGTCCAGTGCTTTTTGCATTCACTTGTGGATAATTTTATAGTTGATGAATTACTGTAATGTCTTTCCTAAATCCTTAAATTATATATATATATATGTATATATATATATATATATATATATATATATATATATATATATATATATATATATATATTAGCCTTTTGGGCCGGTCTAAAATAAACATACGTAATGTGCTATTTTTTTTTGTTGTGACTTTGCATAATTGAAGAAGAAATTTTATCCATACGCTAACTTGTCAATCTCTTTCGAACAATCATTTCGAATAAGGCGAGAAATCTGCACCCCAATGACACCAAAGTTCGAATTGTATTCAGACAACTTAAGAGAAAAATTTATTTACCGATTCATGGACACGCTTCGGTATCCATTACAATTACTATCGTGACTGCTTATATCAGCTTGTAGGTAGAGCCTAAAATATTTATCTATTTGTTGGCACGAATAGAGATGGGTAAGAAAGGTATAAATGAAAGCCATACAGCTAATGATTACATATAAGAACTACATTTCCCAACGAAAAGGCGAGGACGCACAATTTATTACTCGCCTAACAGCAGCATAATTTCCTATACTCAAATATTATACAAATATGCTATTCTCTTCACGTCTTTGTTTTAACATCATGTACGAAGCTTTAGAGAAAATCGAAACAAAAAAGACGTTTATATTTATCATCAAAACGAGACAATTAAAACTTCTATAATAAGGAAAGACGGCTTAGAAAATTTGACACTCACAGAACATTGAAAACGAGATTGTCAGAGGAAAACATTGCATAACTTAACTAACGAACTTGTTTAAATAATTAGCAGAACAAAGTATAGGAGGGATAACAAGACAAAATTTAATATGACCCACAAAGGACAGGAAATTGTGGAGAACCACGATCACCATAGTTCTGAAGGCACATAGAAAAAAAGATGATTGACTGATTCGTTTTCTACGGTTTATCAATCCGTTGTAGGTTATTTAAAGCCAGAATTTTTTTAGTTTGTAAAAATATTTTTTTGAGATAATAATGATTTAGTGATATTATATGTCTTACTAATTACCCCATAGCTGGGAGAGAAGAATTGGATTCATACTTTTCCCAAGAGTATTTGCGTGTAAGTGAATATAACGAAAGCAATAGGAGTTGGAACTCGGTTCTCCAAGTAAAAATTCTGAGGCATCATCCATTACACCTCCCGCACATCCAAACTTACAACGCCTGATTTTCCCAAGTGGTCACCCATCTAGGTTATGACCAGACTCGACGTTGCTTAACTTCGGTGATCGTACGGGAACCGATGCTTCAACGTGTTGTGGCCATAAGCAAAAGAAGAAGAAGAAGAAAGAAAGAAAGAAAGAGAAAAGTCGAACAAGAGTACTGGGAGGCTACAGGGAATAATGTTAATTGATTAACATCACTTTCCATCGTATCTAGGTTTGTTTCAAGAAAGATAGCTAATTGTTTTATGCCGCTTGCAAGACTGATGGTAAATTTTTCTATGTATTTATCCATAAGATCTTTGGTTCTTATATCCTCCCTGTGTTCGTTCTATCTTTATTCACTAAGTGAATTATTTTGATCGCAAGGACCTTATATTTGTACGGCTTATCGACAATTTGACGCTCACAAGATGGTATTGAAGGCAAAAATGAAAGACAGAGGAAAGCAGTAAATAACCTATTTAACGAGCCTGTGTAAATGAATTGCAGAACAGGGATTAGGAGAGATACAAAAAATAAATAAAAGAATAAAAAATATTGGTAAAAGTTACAAAAGACGGGAATTTGTGCCGCGAACTATGATCATCCGAATCCTGAAGAGACACGGCGCATAGAAGAAGTAATATCATTTACCTTTTTGCAATAATTTATTGGATAATGTTAGCTGGTTTTGCACTTATTGGATGATAAGCTACTTTCTGAAGCCTTTATGTATCATGTGATTTTCTGATTGGCCGTGCTGTGATGAGCAAACGGGCCGTTCGACAACACAGGAAATCTCAATGGCAAATCAACCGATGGAAAAAGAAAAGTTCTTTGTCACTGTCCATAATGTCACGATTAGAATAAGCGTCTCTGTCTTCCGGTGATTTAAACTGCTCTTGATTTCTTAATTTAAGTCTGCTTAGTTTGCAATTTTCTATTCCTCATTCTGGACTACTCTGGTATCAAACGGACAAGCAATATCAATAAGGTAACAAAAACGCTTTTCTTTGATGAGAACAATCATATCCAGACGTGAATTATTATTATTATTATTATTATTATTATTAATAATAATAATAATAATAATAATAATCCGCTTTTGCTATCGTTACCAAGACCTACGCAAGGTAGTAAATATATGCATAGTCTTTATACAAATTCTGCTTTTTAAGTGATGCATAAACTGTACATTTTTAAATATTTTCTTTACATTGATACAACGTTCCCGAGTAGATGATCAGTTCGACGCGGTGTTATTTTTGCGTTTTTCGTGAACATATGCTACCAGGGTGTAATGGTTGACACGGTTCTCTCGCTAGCGTAATTACGATTGAGTAGTGAGTTCGATCCGCACTGGGTACTCCCTACTTTCACCATTGTTCTACATCTAAGGTTGGCATAGTAAATCACTATGCTGCCAGGTTTGTTTTTTCTTTATATTTTTGTTTACATTTGATCGGACCCAACAAAATTTAGATTTTTTTTTGTTTTTAATTCTAGTTCTAGTGTCCTTTGCTGGTTATTGCAAAAATAAAATTATATTAACAAGATTGATTTTGAATTGTATTGATTAAAATTCAGAGCTTGCTGGGGATTATTTATCGATTTGAATTCTTCAAAAAATTATTTTCTTGTTAAAAGAAAACAAACTACGTTTTTATTTTTTGTTAAATATATGTGTTTATTTTTGTTGAATATATTATATTGTAATTCGTCCATTTTTGGGAAAAAAAATAACTACACAATTTAGTTCCTCCGAAAAAATAAATAAATATATAAGTACGTAGTTTATGAAATTTCTTATAAGAAAAAAGGAATTTTCTCCGGAGTGGTGTTTCTGCCGAAGAAAAATCTCGTAAACCGGAAATTTTTACGCTTCTTGTCTACCGTAGCGAAAATCGCCAATGGTTGATATTACCAAAAATATGCAAGACATTCAGGGAGTGAATGGCTTGAATTAATTTTACCAAATGATGGGTGATGGTGCTGGGTGGGGACAAAATAATTTTAGCAAAATGACGTCATGATTTAGAATGTTTGGGAAGGCTTGGTACAAATCACGTTTACCAGCAGTTTGAATTATCCTAACCACCAACAGAATATATGTAAATATTGTTAATAAATCAAGGGAAATTAATTGCTCTATTAGTCACACTGGATATGTGCTAAATAACATATCGGGCGATGCCTCCTCAAGCTAGTTTCATGCGTGCTTCAATCGTCAAAATAACCTGCATTTCTATAAATGTCTACAAACTTTTCTAATGTGGAAACGAGTGAGTTTTAATTTGATTTCATTTAAGCAACATGGAATGGCTGAACGTACGCTAGATGTTAATTTCGTCGAGAACATACAAAAACAAATCTAGCCAGTACACTTCGAAAACATTTGTTCCTAACGTCGCATCCAGAAGATTACAAAATAACAACATGAACGTAAGATGAACGGAACTTCATTCAATAGATTTATTAAGTAATAGACTCTCAGATATTATATAAAAAACATATACAATGCTTTACTTATCCATGTGTGAATATTATCATTTATGCCTTTTTCATACTTATACAAACACACACACACGCGCATGGGTATATATATATATATATATATATATATATATATATATATATATATATATATATATATATATATATATATATATATATATGTATGTATGTATAATTTTCTGGTGCAGGTCTGGTCGACAACGATTGTGAGTTTCCAGCTTTCCAGTTTCTTCAGACATTCGTCATTAGACTGATAGCTTCCTGCACCCAGTGGCCGGCCTTCTTCAGTCGGTCGGCATTAGACTGATAGTTTCCTACACGCTTTCATTATTCTTCTGGGTGTGTTATTCCCTCATCGGCCAACATAAGGTGGGAAAACGTAGATGGTGAATACATATATTATACTCACCAGGTGTGCTTTTGTACGGGGGGGACTTTGGCTGGCATTAACGAGCACTTTTTACACATTTCATTTCATGCTCTTTTGCAGGAATACTCTTTTTCGTCTGCCATTGAGCAATTTTAGGAAAATTGTTGAATGTATACTGGTATTCTGGGGGTTTTTTCCCCTTACAAATATAAGTGATTTTACTGATATTCCATTCTCGGCCGTATGGACATTACATTCTCGGTGATTTTAGCTGGTGAGTATAATATATATATATATATATATAATATATGTTTTCACCGACTACTCTAGGGTTTGCAGAGGGCGAGAATAAAATCTTAAATCCCTGAATGTTGAATTGCGATCGTCTTAAAAATGCATGACTCGGCCGCACGAAACTGACTGTTGTTGTTGTTGGTCAGACCTGCGCGGGGGAAATTCTGATTTATATAATATACCCTGCTATTGCAACACTAAACATTCTTCTCGGTGTGTCTTTTTACGTATTCGCCTTTTCGAGTCGCTTACGTTTCTGTGTGTTATAATATATATATATATATATATATATATATATATATATATATATATATATATATATATATATGAATATTGCTACATATGTGTTTGTGAAGGCCGAAAACGAAAAAACAAGAACGTATTCGCCGATATTCTGGCAACACACACACACATATATATATGTGTGTCTGCGTTTGTGTCTGAATTTATGTGTGTGTATGTATATATATATCTCTCTCTATATATATATATGTCAGAGGCAATTATGTGACATTAAGTAGATATTCATATACATTTACTTGTTAGATGCATTATATATATATATACACACACACATGTATATAAAACATACTTATATAAACTAAAATTAACATTTTGACACACACACACACACACACACACATATATATATATATATATATATATATATATATATATATATATATATATATATATATATATAAGTATGTATATTGGACGTGTATACATATATATATATAAAATATATATATATATATATATATATATATACACGTCCAATATATACTTATATACTTATTCTTATATAGCATGTATTCATATACTTATATATACGTGCTTAGTTATACTTGTGCATTTTTATGTAAGCATGTACTATGTATATATATATATATATATATATATATATATATATGTGTGTGTGTGTGTGTGTGTGTGTGTGTGTGTGTGTGTGTGTGTTAATTTTATTTTACTGACGGAAAATAAAATTGCGACACTTTTTTTGTACAATATGTCCTGTAAAAATTCAGAAAAAAAAAATGTCAAATCTTTGACCATTTACAGCACATTGTTTGTATACTGCCCCATGTCAGACGATGGAGCATGTTGCGACAAGAGCCAGTGTGATGAAAATCTCAATTCAATCAGGTGCGATATAAAATGGGACGCACCTTTGGTCCACTTTGCTTTAATTAGAGCCTTTTGTGAGGCGCCGGATTGCGAGAGAGGCTGCCTAGTTCAATCGGAGAATTGTTGTGCATATTGAACGTAGCGCGTCGGTGGTTAACACATGTCGAGTGATCATTGCTTTACTCATCACCCTGTTCCTAAACGCGCAGGTAGCACAGGCAGGCGCTGTGATCGTCACCTGGTAAAGGAAGCAGTAGAAGACTGTACAGCGCCTACAGCACACACTAGAGCAAGCATAAATCCAGGAACATCAGCCTCGTTTTTCAATAAACAGGCGTGATTTATGAAACAATACTGTCGAAGACATTATTGGAAGATCGTTTGCGTGTTTGGCAACTAGCACGATTCACTCAGGCCCTATCCTTAGGTGTTTGTAAAGAGAACACTGAACAGCGCCATGCATACATCTCGAATATGATCCAACTCGTTCTGTCACCATTCCTGCAATAGGAAAATTACATGCTGTTCCTGCAGAATAATTCCTGCCCACACTGTGCCCATGTTACTCAATATATTTCATAAGATGTCCCATCTCTCCTTAATGTATAGGACAAGTGCAAAGACGTGTAATAATGTAATCGTATATATGCACAAAGACAGGCATGTATTAACGCACATTGAGGACATACAGTATACGGACACGGAGTCTGATTACGGTTATATTACCCTCTCCGTTTAATCTTGCACTGATCGCGAGACGTCGTTGCAACTCTATTTGCCGTCAGTATATACTTACTTTCTCACCGGTTCTTCACA